GCATGCTGCAATTCTTTTCCAAACCTAAAATGATATATAAATATATATTGCATAAAATATTCTTTCTTTTATAAAATGCAGTTTTGTCTTGTCCTGTTCTGTTCTTTATCTCTTTAATGCATCTTCTGTCGGATGTTATCCATGTGCCTAAATAGTTCAATTTATGTACTCGTCCTAAAATAAAGCCTTTAACTTTTATGAAACATTTAGGTACTATTCTTTTCTTGGATATCAGATTACTTCTGTCTTCACTTTATTCAAGCTGAGGCCCATTTTATCACTTGCTACCACAACCGTATCTATCAATCCCTGTAGTTCTGTCAAGTTGTCGCTATCAAGAGGGCGTCATCAGCACAGTGTCAGCACTAACAGCAACAGTAAACAACTTGTGACGGTTGATCAAACAGAGGAATCACAGACAGGACTGCACTGTTAAGTGGAGGGCTTGTTGTAAATGATATTCGCTATCCCATGAGACAGCGGACCCTAAATGGGACACATGTTTTAGAGCAGCGGTTCTCAACCTGTGGGTCGCGTCCTTTTTTTTGGGGGGTCGAAGGACCCTTTCACAGGGGTCGCCAAAGACCATAGGGAAAACACATATTCATTGAAGTTATGAAGTAGTAATAAAAATAATTTTTTGTTTGGGGGTCACCACAACATGAGGAACTGTATGAAAGGGTCACCACAACATGAGGAACAGTATGAAAGGGTCACCACAGCATGAGGAACTGTATGAAAGGGTCACCACAACATGAGGAACTGTAAGAAAGGGTCACCACAACATGAGGAACTGTATGAAAGGGTCACCACAACATGAGGAACTGTATGAAAGGGTCACCACAACATGAGGAACAGTATGAAAGGGTCACCTCAGCATGAGGAACTGTAAGAAAGGGTCACCACAACATGAGGAACAGTATGAAAGGGTCACCACAACATGATGAACAGTATGAAAGGGTCACTACAACATGAGGAACAGTATGAAAGGGTCGCCACAGCATGATGAACTGTAAGAAAGGGTCGGAGCAATCGATAGGTTGAGAACCACTGTTCTACAGCACCATAAAGCACCAACAAGATCTGTTTAGAAGTATATTCTGTGTCATGCTTGCTAATAGCAACGGCACTGCTTCAAAACCACTTATACCTACAATTACATCAGATATCAATAGACAAACTAACAGAACAGACACTTTAAGCAGATCTATATTTCCTATCTTAAAGACAAACGAGTGCAGTAAGTCAGAGGCAGAGAATTTGCCTGCCATGACAGCTGAGACATTTCAGCAAGAATCTACCATGTGATGACTTCCACTATAACAACACCTGCCATGTTTCCTTGTATTAGCCTTGTACCTGTCTGAATACCTCCCCCTGGCTACAGCATCTGCCAAGTGATGCCTTGTACTTGTCCGGTTACCTCCCCCTGGCTACAGAATCTGCCAAGTGATGCTTTGTACCTGTCTGGATACCTCCTGCTGGCTACAGCATCTGCCAAGTGATGCCTTGTACCTGTCTGGTTACCTCCCCCTGGCTACAGCATCTGCCAAGTGATGCCTTGTACCTGTCTGAATACCTCCCGCTGGCTACAGCATCTGCCAAGTGATGCCTTGTACCTGTCTGGTTACCTCCCCCTGGCTACAGCATCTGCCAAGTGATGCCTTGTACCTGTCTAGATACCTCCCCCTGGCTACAGCATCTGCTGTGATGCCTTGTACCTGTCTGGATAACTCCCCCTAACTACAGCATCTGCTAAGTGATGCCTTGTACCTGTCTGGTTACCTCCCCCTGGCTACAGCATCTGCCAAGTGATGCCCTGTACCTGTCTGGATACCTTCCCCTGGCTACAGCATCTGCTAAGTGATGCCTTGTACCTTTTTTGATACCTCCCCCTGGCTACAGCATCTGCCAGGTGATGCTTTGTACCTGTCTTGTTACCTCCCCCTGGCTACAGCATCTGCCAGGTGATGCCTTGTACCTGTCTGGTTACCTCCCCCTGGCTACAGCATCTGCCAGGTGATGCCCTGTACCTGTCTGGTTATTCTCAACCTAGCTATAGCAACTGCCAAGTGATGCCTTGTACCTTTCTGGTTACCTTCCCCTAGCTACAGACTCTGCCAAGTGATGCCTTGTACCCATCTGGTTGCCTCCCCTGGCTACTGCATCTGCCAGGTTATGCCTTGTACCTGTCTGGTTACCTCCCCCTGGCTACATTATCTGCTAAGTGATGCCTTGTACCTGTCTGGATGCCTCCCCCTGGCTACAGCATCTGCCAGGTGATGCCTTGTACCTGTCTGGTTACCTTCCCCTGGCTACAGCATCTGCCAAGTAATGCTTTGTACCTGTCTGGTTACTTCCCCCTGGCTACAGCATCTACAGCATCTGCCAAGTGATGCCTTGTACCTGTCTGGTTACCTCCCCTGGCTAAAGCATCTGCCAAGTGATGTCTTGTACCTGTCTGGTTACCTCCCCTGGCTAAAGCATCTGCCAAGTGATGCCTTGTACCTGTCTGGTTACCTTCCCCTGGCTACAGCATCTGCCAAGTGATGCCTTGTACCTGTCTGGTTACCTTCTACTGGCTATAGCATCTGCCAAGTGATGCCTTGTACCTGACTGGTTACCTCCCGCTGGCAACAGCATCTGCCAAGTGATGCCCTGTACCTGTTTGATTTCCGATCACACATAAACAATACACACAACATAACCCACGACTTACTAGAGGCGAGGCATCTGGATCATCCAGCGCACATTATCCGAGTACATCTTGTGTTTGACTGCCCATTTAGCCAGTTTATCCCACTCATCTAGGGATCGGCCGTAAATGGATAACCGAAATTCTGCATTCTGATATTTGCTTTCCTCCAAGTCCTCCATGACCTCCTGAAAAGAGAGGGATACTATTTCATGAACCTAAACAACATTCAGCAAACAGAAACAACATATAGCAACACAGATACAACATACAGCAAACAGAAACAACATACAGCAAACAGAAACAACATATAGCAACACAGATACAACATACAGCAAACAGAAACAACATACAGCAAACAGAAACAACATACAGCAAATAGAAACAACATACAGCAAACAGAAACAACATACAGCAACACAGAAACAACATATAGCAAACAAAAACAACATACAGCAAACAGAAACAACATACATAGCAAACAGAAACAACATACATAGCAAACAGAAACAACATACATAGCAAACAGAAACAACATACATAGCAAACAGAAACAACATACATAGCAAACAGAAACAACATACATAGCAAACAGAAACAACATACATAGCAAACAGAAACAAAAGAGGTCAAGATATCATCATGTAGTAGGTCCTTTGCAGAATTTCTATCTCACTACAGTCTGACTAGCCAGCTCTCCTGCCTTATGTACCAAGTCATCACTCACATCCGGTGCCTAGCTTAATGATGGTCTGTCCCTGCCCCTCTTTCCTGGTATCATGTTTTCTGCAAACAATATATCAATGTCCAAGACAAGATGCTGTTTACTAGCCAATCTTCCTTGACACACGTCTACCTGCCTGCCAGGGGTATCTCACACAGTGTACACATGTCTACCTGCATGCCAGGGGTATCTCACACAGTGCACACATGTCTACCTGCCTGCCAGGGGTATCTCACACAGTGTACACATGTCTACCTGCCTGCCAGGGGTATCTCACACAGTGCACAAATGTCTACCTGCCTGCCAGGGGTATCTCACACAGTGTACACATGTCTACCTGCCTGCCAGGGGTATCTCACACAGTGCACACACGTCTACCTGCCTGCCAGGGGTATCTCACACAGTGCACACACGTCTACCTGCCTGCCAGGGGTATCTCACACAGTGCACACATGTCTACCTGCCTGCCAGGGGTATCTCACACAGTGCACACACGTCTACCTGCCTGCCAGGGGTATCTCACACAGTGTACACACGGCTAGCTGCCTGCCAGGGGTATCTCACACAGTGCACACACGTCTACCTGCCTGCCAGGGGTATCTCACACAGTGCACACATGTCTACCTGCCTGCCAGGGGTATCTCACACAGTGTACACATGTCTACCTGCCTGCCAGGAGTATCTCACACAGTGCACACATGTCTACCTGCCTGCCAGGGGTATCTCACACAGTGTACACATGTCTACCTGCCTGCCAGGGGTATCTCACACAGTGTACACACGGCTAGCTGCCTGCCAAAGGCATCACACACAGTGCACACACGTCTAGCTGCCTGACAAGGGTATTACAAACAGTGCACACATGGCTACTGTGATGATCCCCAGCAATCTCTGTCAACATCTCCCAGTGCACACATGGCTACTGTGATGATCCCCAGCAATCTCTGTCAACATCTCACATATTAGGTATAAAAATAGCAGTTGCAAACCAAACAGTACAGATGGTGCAATGACCCCATGACCTTCAAAGCACTAGGATAACATCCTAACCACTTGAAGGCAGAGACCACTTTGAGGCAGACCCCCCTCAAAGAGTAGGTTACATCATAAGTACTCCAACACAGAAGGTAAAACCTAGATAACCTAGATGATACATTTAGGTTTCAAACATTAGAGTTGTGGATGTGAGTTGTGAGGCCCTGTTTAGGTAGGGGGAAAGGGGAAAGGGAAGGTGGAGTGAGGAGAACGACCCACTTACCCTTAACAAGCATGTCAAGCATGGTGTATACTGCTAGCTACACTACAATAAGTCTACAAAAGGTGACTAACTGAGGATCTGCTGAAATCAGTCGCAGTGCCAATATCACAGCCCAACTGTAAACCACAACAAAACAAGCTAAACATCCTTTAAGGGTGAAGAAGAAGTAGTAGGAGGAAGATGAAAAAGAGGAGGAGGAGAAGAGGAGGAAGCTTCAGACTTAAAACATCTAACAACAGACAGCTCAAGCAATACGTATCAAGCCCTGACAGTATTCACAACAAACAATGAATACTGACAGATCTAGCCACACACAAGCTAACCTTGATAACTTTGGCAAAGTACAGCCCTCCAATGTGATTGTCAGTCTTCATGAAAACCTCCCGCAGCCTGCTCTCACCGACAGGGTTGTATTTGGCATTGAACTTGTCAAACCGGTGGAAAGTGTTGCGGTCCTGAGCAGACAAAATGAACGTGACAACACAATCAGCCAGCTGGAAGTCTGTCACATTCATGTCATGACAGAATAGTGACAGCAAGTGTAATGAACCCTCACCTCTACCGTTTACCTGGCTTCACAAATGCCCACAAACTTATTATTTCGAAACTAACATGGTGGTTTTCCCCCAACTTATATATACAGACAAGAGATGCAGTCACTATCAACAAGATACTGTTTGACAGTAGTATCTATGTGAACACTGCCTTGAGAGCAGCCTTGTCTTTTCACTCCTGTTTTAGCTATCACTGGCTCCTGTTTTACTACTGTAGCTATGTCTAGCTGCTGTTTGAGTTTTTCACTGGCTCCTGTTTTACTACTGTAGCTACTTCTAGCTGCTGTTTGAGTTTTTCACTGGCTACTGTTTTACTACTGTAGCTACTTCTAGCTGCTGTTTGAGTTTTTCACTGGCTCCTGTTTTACTACTGTAGCAACTTCTAACTGCTAATTTAGTTTTCACTGGCTCCTGTTTTACTACTGTAGCTACGTCTAGCTGCTGATTTAGTTTTCACTGGCTCCTGTTTTACTACTGTAGCTACTTCTAGCTGCTGGTTGAGTTTTTCACTGGCTCCTGTTTGCCTTACTGCTGACTATTGGCCAGGTTAAGTGGTTTCACCATCTTGGTAGAATGCAGCAACATCAAATACCATCGCAGGAACTACATCACAGAAGATCAGCTACAAGAGCAAGAGAATGGCCACACAAAAATATGGATCAACAACATTAGGGACACTTTATATTATCTATGACAATAGCCAGTGCCAGCCAAAATAAACTGAACTACTTACAGACAAGTGATAACCCTAATGTCCTAATCAGGAAAAGAAAACGGATCTCATCCGTGACTGATGATTGTGATGACTTATCAATATGGTACATGACGATGATGACAAAGATGATGATGATGATGACAAAGATGATGATGATGACAAAGATGATAATGATGATGATGGACAATGACACAGACCAAACTTACAGCATGCATGTCCAGCATGTCCACACTGAGGTCATAGGGCGTTAGGTTCATGGACTGGAAAACCTGCAAGGACAGGATCAACGAGGTCAGTTACAGGTCAAGTTTCAGGTGTCTGATTGACCACACCAAAATCTAGCACATTTCTCAGCATCTCACTTGAGCACAGATCTAGCTTTGTGACCTCCCATAAAGTGGGAAACTTTGTAATTAGAAGACCAATGTGTCAACCAAGAGGAGCAAGTATATTGCAGCAATGCTGTAACCTGGCACAACACAATTACATCCTCGGATGAACAAAGAAGAATACATTAATGTGACAGTTTTCCCTTCCTTTCCACAGACAGAAATGAAATTTGCAGACTATATACATTCTATAGTAAGCAATTTGTCAGAGGTTTGAAATGTTGCCAGGGCAGCAGGAAATCACAGCCTACACTTGAAGTATCCAGATACTGAGGGATCTTCCTCACACATCCCTGTAGGAGTGACTCCACACTGAAGTGAGCAGTCATCTGTCTCATGTTATTAAGTTTGTGGATTCATTTTTGGGATGTGCCATTCCATTCACAAGTGCAATTTTGTCAGAGATAAGCTGAGAGATTACAGCTGGGGCTACAGAGTTCGTTCATGCTTTGGTCAACACTCGGGCAGGCAGGCAGCTCCTCTGAGAGAGAGAGAGAGAGGGGTGGGGGGAGATAAGAGAGGAAGAGATAGACGGAGAGGGAGGAAGAGAGACAGAGCTACTGAGGCTTATTAGATACAACCCAACTCAATGAAGCTGACCTATCACCTTTTAGTGTGTCAAAGATGTAAGTTCACAATGTCTGCTGAAAGGAAAAACAGGGTCATGACAAGTACTGTACATACATTTAGCAACATGTAAAAGAGTACAAAGTTCCGGCATGTTAATTATTTCCAGACAGGACCGCATCTGTCACTGAGATGACCTTTGCACTACAAACATTGAGGGAGAGTAGCCCAGTGTTAATTTCACTGATTCATTACGCCCAGTGGCAAGATATGAGAGCCAGCATCAGAACAGATGCAGTGGATGACAACAGTAGCTTTCTGTGTCCCGTCTTGCCCTGTAGTGTCTACGTGTGAGTTGTTAGTAGTCACCTGATTTTCTTCAGACCAGCTGGTGGCTCCTTTGTATAGTTTGTCCAGTCCAGTCTTCACATGTGTAGGAAGAAAGCAGCAGTGGAAGGAAGAAAGCAAACAATTCAACAATAATCATAGCATCAGCTCTGTCTATGTAGCTCAGTCGTTCAATGGATATGGCTGCTCAGCTAATGAAGTCTCTGCAAGGCCATGAGCTTCAGCTCTTAAATCTGAGGCTCTAGGGTTCAGCTCATCAATACTCTCAAACAAGCTTGTATGTATAGAACTGGATGGTTCAAGGATGGTTCGCCCAGCCTGCTACCAAAGCACTATCTTTCTAGGGATTGTCTGGTAGAGATCTAATTGTCTTCTCCAAGTCTCTAAGCCAGTGAGGGGCGAAAGACCAGTATTGGATCAACAGGTCAAGATGCATCACAGCACATTCAGACTGAGTGCAAAGATAAGGTTTAGGCTGGCCTTATTTCCACCACAGTATCACAGGTACAGACTCTAGCCTGCAGACAAAAGGGAAGCTAAGGCAACATGGTCTGAGATATGGCCCTGGACTGGTTTCCAAAGATGACATCCAACCATCTGACAGTCAACTGTCACAATATTTCTCAGTCTGGTTTTAGCCAAAGATCATTTTAATTGCATGCAGACTTCTAAATACTTGTAGTCTCTATCTAGATTAATTGAAGAAAAGCTATGTATATATACAATAAACAGACACAGGAAATCTCTGTATACATAATATAAACACAGACAATGATGCAAATGTGTGTACACCAGAACCACATATGCCATCAATATTGACCCATGTGTGTGTACACCAGAACCACACATGCCATCAATATTGACCCATGTGTGTGTACACCAGAACCAAATATGCCATCAATATTGACCCAAATTTGTGTACACCAGAACCACACATGCCATCAATATTGACCTAAATGTGTGTACACCAGAACCACATATGCCATCAATATTGATCCAAATGTGTGTACACCAGAACCACATATGCCATAAATATTGACCCAAATGTGTGTACACCAGAACCACATATGCCATCAATATTGACCCAAATGTGTGTACACCAGAACCACATATGCCATCAATATTGACCCATGTGTGTGTACACCAGAACCACATATGCCATCAATATTGACCCATGTGTGTGTACACCAGAACCACATATGCCATCAATATTGACCCATGTGTGTGTACACCAGAACCACACATGCCATCAATATTGACCCATGTGTGTGTACACCAGAACCAAATATGCCATCAATATTGACCCAAATGTGTGTACACCAGAACCACACATGCCATCAATATTGACCTAAATGTGTGTACACCAGAACCACATATGCCATCAATATTGACCTAAATGTGTGTACACCAGAACCACATATGCCATCAATATTGACCCAAATGTGTGTACACCAGAACCACATATGCCATCAATATTGACCCATGTGTGTGTACACCAGAACCACACATGCCATCAATATTGACCCATGTGTGTGTACACCAGAACCACATATGCCATCAATATTGACCCATGTGTGTGTACACCAGAACCACACATGCCATCAATATTGACCCAAATGTGTGTACACCAGAACCACATATGCCATCAACATTCATTTGTAGGTTTTAAAAAAAAAAGGCAAGTACCCTTTTCTATGCCTTTTCTATTATATATATATATATATATATATTGGGCATATAGGGCTACAACTATATTTTTAGACCAATCGGCAATCAAAGGTGATGTGGTCAACATTCAGATAGCCACCTTTACTTCCCAGAACTTTACTAGGTACCCAATTAATGCTGGGTTGATCTGGGAGCCAAAAAGGTCATTCTAAACAAAGTCCAGCTCCATCAGGACCTGATCTTCTGATCTGTAGGCAAGCATCTAGCCACTACACCACCGCAGTCTGGACAGTGGCTCATTTAGACTGCTCTTTCTATCTCCAGCTGCCTAGATCATGTTCTCAATCTTCCTCTGGTCATTTTGTGTTCATCCTTTGATCATGTTTTTAAATTTCATTGATCATGTTCTTAATCTCCCCTTTGCCAAGTTGTAAATCTGCTTCTGGTTAGTAGTGTGGTCTTCCTTTCATCATGTACTTAATCTTTCTTTGGCTGCATTATTTTCTTCTCAGTATTCCTCTGACTATATTCTTATCTTCCTCTGATCATATTCTTATCTTCCTTTGGTCATATTCTTATCTTCCTCTGACTATATTCTTATCTTCCTCTGATCATATTCTTATCTTCCTCTGATCATATTATTATCTTCCTCTGATCATATTATTATCTTCCTCTGACTATATTCTTATCTTCCTCTGGTCATATTCTTATCTTCCTTTGGTCATATTCTTATCTTCCTCTGGTCATATTCTTATCTTCCTCTGACTATATTCTTATCTTCCTCTGATCATAAACATACATGAAAGGTTTCCTGATGCCAATAAATTCCCACCTTGGTGTATATGAGAGCAACATACATGAAAGGTTTCCTGGTGCCAATAAATTCCCACCTTGGTGTATATGAGAGCAACATACATGAAAGGTTTCCTGATCCAATAAATTCCCACCTTGGTGTATATGAGAGCAACATACATGAAAGGTTTCCTGGTGCCAATAAATTCCCACCTTGGTGTATATGAGAGCAACATACATGAAAGGTTTCCTGATGCCAATAAATTCCCACCTTGGTGTATATGAGAGCAACATACATGAAAGGTTTCCTGATGCCAATAAATTCCCACCTTGGTGTATATGAGAGCAACATACATGAAAGGTTTCCCGATGCCAATAAATTCCCACCTTGGTGTATATGAGAGCAACATACATGAAAGGTTTCCTAATGCCCAAATAATCCCCCAGTGGTGTATATGAGAGCAACATACATGAAAGGTTTCCTAATGCCCAAATAATCCCCCAGTGGTGTATATGAGAGCAACATACATGAAAGGTTTCCTAATGCCCATATATTCCCCCAGCGGTGTATATGAGAGCAACATACATGAAGGTTTCCTAATGCCCAAATAATCTCCCAGTGGTGTACATGAGAGCAACATACATAAAAGGTTTCCTTATACCCATATACTCCCACAGTGGTGTATATGAAAGCAACATACATGAAAGGTTTCCCAATGCCCATATATTCCCACCTTGGTGTATATGCTGGACAGAAAGAATCAATAAACACTGTTTACAATAGCAAAAGCTGCTATGGCTCATATGTAAGCAATGTACACAATGAAATATATGTGTGGGTAAGCCATACATCAAAGCAAGGCAATCAATGTACATGGACAACAATACAAACTCAAAAATAAAGCATGTGAAAACAGGAGATCAGAGAAAATACATTTTGAAACACACACAGGCAAACAAACAAAGAAGCAGACAATGATAAACTGCAAGCTAAATTTTAGAACCAAAAACAAAATGTACACGGAAACTTAAGGGGAAAAAATCAAACCAAAACCAAACAATGATGAAAACAGAAAACCTCTGCAAGGGTCAGGATCTGCCCATCTTTATTTTTACACACCACATCATCTTTGCAGGTCTTCATGGTCTTCTTGATAAAGCGCAGCAGGTGCTTCTGATTCATGCCGGATGATGCATGTACGTGTGTGTCCACCTGGGGATACACACAATCAGCATTAGTGCTGGTACAAGGACACAGAAACATTGCATTCCTTTTTACATATATTTCATTGTATGTTTAAAATGAATGAATGGACGAATAAATCAAGAAATAATATAACTGCAGGTGGCAACTCCCACAAGTGCTCAGACCTCAGTAGCCACCAAGGAGATCCCATACTGATGGTGTCAGTTGTAACCTGATTGAAAGTCCAACTGGCTTCTCCCTGGTAATCTGGTAATCCCAGTTTCAGCTTCACAGCAAACTGGTCACCCCACAGTTGCTCCACTCCTGTGCCAACGAAAAACAAACGCAGCTCACAGTGTCACGCCATGCACTCAACTCAGAAGCTGGGCGACGAAACTACAGACAATGCTTCTCCAAGCTTCTCCCTGCATGTAGATAACTTCCAGACTGTCTGCTCCATCCCAGCTAAATCAGTCCTGAAGCATGGATGCTCTGTCTGTTCTGTTGCACTGCCCACTTTATCCCAGAGTGCCTGCACAGTGTAGGTTTTACCATAAAGCAACTGCAGCCAGTCTATCTGCTCACTGCCCTGCACACAGGAATAGCTTGGGTGAATAATCCATGTTAACTCTTTGAGTCCCAAGGAACATGTCATACGTTCATAGATTCCTACCAAGAAGCCCAATGAATGCAAGATGCAGCCATTTTACTTCTTTCTTGACTACTCCTTGGGCCTGTGATGCCCCCCCCCCCCCCCCCCGGGACTCAAAGAGTTAAATTCCTGATGTGTCTTATTAAGTGACACAAGACCCTATATTTGCAGGAATCCATGTCTATTTTCTGAAGCATGCCCTGCGAGTCCACAACAATTATCTGTCATGCTATCCTACTCTCCAGTATATCTTTGAGTCATTTAAATTTCTTTTTTTTTTTAAACTAAATTTGTCTCTATTTAATTGTATGCTTAAAAAAATACCATTTTGTCTCTTTCTGTTTATTTACTAAACATTTATTTCTTTATTATGTCTTTACTTCTTTTTTCCTCTTCTCATATTCACTTAATGCTTCTATTAATATATTTTTTCTGAAATATGATATTTTATGTTAGGCCCATATTTCTCTGTGTAGGCCTCTGCTGCCTGCAGTGACTGTCTGGGCTTCTGTTGTCAAGCACAACTCCAAATCTAAATAATCAAACTACAGCTTTATAAAGGAAATTCTGAGGGGAAACAGGAAAGCATGTAAGAGAAAGAAACTGTTATACAGTGGCGGGCAGCATAAAGAGATGGACAAAAAGCAATCAGTGTGAACACACCCCACTGAGATACGGGGTTGAGGAAGCATGAAAGTAACATGATAATAATTTGTGGAAGACAACAAAACCCCTTACTCCTGCAAAGCCCCCCACGTGCTTACCTTGTGAACATTGTAAAAATCCCTGTGTGGGACCTCCTTCTGGGCCGCCGACTCCTTCAGCTCGTTGAGCAACACATGTAGCTGGTACTTGTGGCCCAAGTAGCTCAGCCTCCGGTAGCAGAACGACTTCCTGGGATCACAGGTCAACAGGCAAAAACAATACAGAATGAACTGGTTGATTGTAGTCTTTTTGGTTTTTTTAAATCATGAGTCAAACATAGCAACCTTCCCTGCCATACCCTCAACCTTCCATAAGGATGATGCCTATTTATTTCTTCTTTCTCTGATGTTTTCAACATCATCCGCGCTGAACATTGAGTTTTATCTGGGTCAAAAATATCTAAGGCAATGGTAAGCAACCTTTTTTTTGTCCACAAGCCAAATCAGAATTATCAGGTGGTACAGACAAAAATCCATTTTAAACATAACATCGAGGTTTGCTGGTAACACAATATTTTATTTATATATATATATGTGGGATAGAAAACAGAATAGAATATAAACAAATGAACAATTTACACCATATATATATATATATATATATATATATATATATATATATATATATATATATATATATATATATATATATATATATATATATATATATATATATATATATATATATATATATATATATATATGTGTGTGTGTGTGGGACAGAAAATAGAATAGAATAGAAACAAACGAACAACTTACACCATATATATATATATGCGGGATAGAAAATAGAATAGAAACAAATGAACAATTTACACCATATATATATATATGGGATAGAAAATAGAATAGAAACAAATGAACAATTTACATCATATATATATATATATATATATATATATATGGGATAGAAAATAGAATAGAATAGAAACAAATAAACAATTTACACCACATATATATATGTTGTGTGTGTGTGTGTGTGTGTGTGTGTGTGTGTGTGTGTGTGTGTGTGTGTGTGTGTGTGTGTGTGTGTGTGTGTGTGTGTGTGTGTGTGTGTGTGTGTGTGTGTGTGTGTGTGTGTGTGTGTGTGTGTGTGTGTGTGTGTGTGTGTGTGTGTGTGTGTGTGTGTGTGTGTGTGTGTGTGTGTGTGTGTGTGTGTGTGTGTGTGTGTGTGTGTGTGTGTGTGTGTGTGTGTGTGTGTGTGTGTGTGTGTGTGTGTGTGTGTGTGTGTGTGTGTGTGTGTGTGTGTGTGTGTGTGTGTGTGTGTGTGTGTGTGTGTGTGTGTGTGTGTGTGTGTGTGTGTGTGTGTGTGTGTGTGTGTGTGTGTGTGTGTGTGTGTGTGTGTGTGTGTGTGTGTGTGTGTGTGTGTGTGTGTGTGTGTGTGTGTGTGTGTGTGTGTGTGTGTGTGTGTGTGTGTGTGTGTGTGTGTGTGTGTGTGTGTGTGTGTGTGTGTGTGTGTGTGTGTGTGTGTGTGTGTGTGTGTGTGTGTGTGTGTGTGTGTGTGTGTGTGTGTGTGGTGGGTGGAGGGGGGGGGGAGAGATAGAAAATAGAATAGAATAGAAACAAATGAACAATATCTTTAAACAAAAGCTGACTTACAATGGTCCGTCACTGATGAGGGCAAACATCATCTTCTGATCCTTGAGGAACTCCTCCAGATTGGGGTGAATCCAGTCAAAGGGCTTGTTGCTGTCGGCAGCTTCTTGACTGGGGTACACACACATGACCCCTTTCTCAAATCTCAGGACACAGTTGGCTGGGGAGTTGAATTTCACCTGAAATGGATCTCCATGCCTAGGAGGAGCGTGAATGGGATGGTCTGAGGGATCACAATCCACACAGGATCAGGGTCAGTTGAGGGGAGGTCAGTGGTAGGGGCAAAGAGAAAAGGGATCTGTTAGTTAGTCAGGGAAGAAATGCATGCATGCAATGTTATGTCTACAAGGTCAGCAGTACAATAATAGTTTTATAAATGCTGAATAAAAAGAAATTAAAAAGAGAACATGAAATACTCCAAAACAGAATCCAGCAAGCTCAAACTGAAAAACACAGTATGCTTAAACTAAAGAACAGTGTACTTAAACTAACAATACAGTATGCTGAAACTAAAGAACATAGTATATTTAGACTAAAGAATAACAGACTATATTTTCTGAACTGAAAATGCATTTACATGAACTATAGAACATAGTTTATGTGAACTGTAGAGCAGTTTACGTGAAGTGAACTACAGAACACAGTTTATGTGAACTACACAACCCAGTTTATGTAAACTACTGAACACAATTTATGTGAGCAAAAATAAGAACAAATACCAGTGCCCCCCCCCCCCCTTTTTTTCACCCCACCCCCTCCCCAAAATAAAAATAACAATGTGCAGAATAAAGAACACAGCATAAGTGAACTAACTAATAGAAGAGAGGTGAAAGGAAGCGAAGGATACATTCTGTGTGAACTAAACAATGTGGTGTATACTGCTAGCTAAACTATGGTAGGTCTACAAAATCTAGGTGTTACTAAGCTAACAGATCAACAGTCCAGGAATAGACATGTGACACGTCCATCTGACTTGTATCATAAATTCATGAACATAAACATCTATCAATGTAACTCTATGTCGTGCTGTGCACATTGGGTGAGAGTCTGTGTCAAATGAACACCTAAAAGTTGTGGAGGAGACATGACCAGCCTCGGCCTCCATTCATCTAATGAGTGTGCACCTGGATACCTCCATGAATGTCTCACTGAGATGACATGTTTAAGTACTGGTTTTACACAATCTGCTGGTTTTTAAGGCAGGAGAGGGGAAGAAGATTTCTGTGCAATTCTTGTGGAGATGGTGTAAAAGGCCAGACTGAGACAAACATCTGCAAACCAGGCTCACTTCAAGGGGAGATAATCCTGGTCATGAGATAGTGTAAGTTGCCAGACTGAGACAAACATCTGCACACCAGCCTCACTTCAAGGGGAGGTAATCCTGGTCATGAGATAGTGTAAGTTGCCAGACTGAGACAAACATCTGCACACCAGTCTCACTTCAAGGGGAGATAATCCTGGTCATGAGATGGTGTCAGTTGCCAAACTGAGACAGACATCTGCACACCAGCCTCACTTCAAGGGGAGGTAATCCTGGTCATGAGATGGTGTAAGTTGCCAGACTGAGACAAACATCTGCCCACCAGCCTCACTTCAAGGGGAGATAATCCTGGTCATGAGATGGTGTAAGTTGCCAGACTGAGAAAAACATCTGCACACCAGCCTCACTTCAAGGGGAGATAATCCTGGTCATGAGATGGTGTAAGTTGCCAGACTGAGACAAACATCTGCACACCAGTCTCACTTCAAGGGGAGGTAATCCTGGTCATGAGATGGTGTAAGTTGCCAGACTGAAACAGACATCTGCACACCAGCCTCACTTCAAGGGGAGGTAATCCTGGTCATGAGATGGTGTAAGTTGCCAGACTGAGACAAACATCTGCACACCAGTCTCACTTCAAGGGGAGGTAATCCTGGTCATGAGATGGTGTAAGTTGCCAGACTGAGACAAACATCTGCACACCAGCCTCACTTCAAAGGGAGGTAATCCTGGTCATGAGATGGTGTAAGTTGCCAGACTGAGACAAACATCTGCACACCAGCCTCACTTCAAAGGGGAGGTAATCCTGGTCACAGCACCAGAACAAGGTCAACGCCCTTTTTTTCCCGCCACTGGCACATAAGTCACATGGTGTTAGACAATATTTTTATAGGCTAACTGGCAGCCAATGATTGACGTGATCAACATCAGTGCTGCCACGTTTGCTTCCCAGGACATTTCCTGGTGTCTATTTTAGGCTAAGTCATCAGGCAGCCCTAGGTCAATTATAAATATTTGCTCCAATATGAATTTGAATCCCAGATCTCTGGACTGGCTAGCACTGCATTATCAAGACTACCAAAATATCAGGCGAAAGAGTTAAAGATGCCAGCTTTTTAACAAAGAGTTCACAAACAGCAAAGACAAAATTATAAATGTTAAACTCAACAAGGTAAAGCAAGATAAATGAACTACTCTGTTTAAAAACAGATGCAGACTACTGTAATATATATATATATATATATATTTGAAAACAAAAACTGTATGAATACAGGTCTGAAGGCTAATGGGAATCTCTCTTGAGTACAACAATAAATTCACACATCACTTGTAACTTATATGCATCTCTACGTGTCAAATCAATTTAGTTTCAAAATGTTTATACAGGTTATGTTAAAAACTCCATGCAGCACATTGTTACCGTAATGTATTCAAGGATCGCAAATATCGTACATCGCTACATTTTACTGATGGGCGATTACTATGTATACATTTTTTTTGGCAGACTCTGTATCTGCCCAATGTGTCCAGAGTCATTCACTTCACTGACTTACTAGATCATTTCAGGAATTTGCTAGGAATTGTCCAAGAAGGAAAGATAAAGGAAACTAACCACTCAATGTTGAATGATGTGGCCGAGTACATCTGAAGGCCTAACACTGCAGTCTGAGTCTGTGGCTTAGACATTGCAAACATCATTGATAACTCTGAGATAATCTATTCAAATCCAGCTGTGGGCACTTGGCAGCGGACCATTTTGTGATCTGGAGCTGACCTTGAGAAAGCAATGATAAGCTTCTTCTTATCATCAATGCCTTGTGGCACTCTTAGTCATGTCTTCTCATAACCCTATGTCTTCTGTACTTTCAATCAACTCTGATACAGATGATCTTCCATGTCATGAGGTCAAACTGTCCAGCAACCCAGTCTCCCTCTGCCTCTCCTCCACTCCAACTTTGCTACCATCACGATATACTCCTTTATACTTCTCAATACATGTCCAAACAATGTAGATTGTCTCCTTCTGATATGAACAATCGGTTCTCACTGTGAGACAGTTTCTTTCCAGACATCTCCATTAATCTTTGTATCTTTCCAGGGTATTCTCATCATTCGCCTATAAAATGATAAATGACTGTTCACCAATCATACAAATGTCCATGATTGTCTTCCACATATCAGGATATGTTTTATATTTATGTAGCTTTTGAGAATTCTCTTTCTCATCTCAACTGACAAAGAAAGTCTGCAGAGAAAATTCCTCTGTATCTAAAAGGTCACCTTTGCTCGAGTTATTCTACATCTAACTTCTTTAAGGTATCTTCCATCTGCTGGAAGCCATGTACTTAAATGTATAAACTTGCATGAGGATTCTCCCATTCACTTTGAAGCTGCATTCTGGAGGGTCCATTTTCATTGTGATTACTACTGTGGGAAGCTACTGAACATACAATTGCTGAGTGAAATCACAAACAGCCAAATCATGCTGGGCTTGGCTCTGCAACGTCCTGTCAAGGATACACAACTAACTTGTTAACATCTTGCACTTCCGGCATTACGAAGCGTTCACATCGACTTAGCCACAGAGCCGACTTCAACATCTAGAATGAACTAAATTAAACTGCCTCAACAGCGAAATAAGAACTAACAAGTTTACTTCTAGAAAGAACTACATGAAATTGTATACAATTAATGAGTTTGCTTGGTGAACAAGGGGGGGGGGGGGGAAGCGGCTGTGATGTAGCAGCTAGACACTTGCCTGTTGATCTGAAGGTCATGGGTTCGGATGCAAATGAAGCGACTTTTTTTAAAATGACCTTTGCTCCCAGGTTGACCCAGCCTTGAGTGGGTACCAGGTAAAGTCTTGGGAAGTAAAGATGACCAGCGTAATGCTGACCCTACTCCCCCACCAAGTGTCGACTGGGCTATAAAATAATAGTCTACCACTACAGGCCTGACAAGCCAGAAGGCAAGGAAACAGGTTCTTTAGCTGACTTTTTGGAATGAAACATTTTTGCTTACAATTAATGATTTTCTTTTTAGAATGAATTAATTTTAAACACACTGCAGGTGAAATAAGAATTGGTTTAGGTCAAGAATGAACTAAGAGCCACAAGCAACATATAGATACATGTTTCACGGAGGGATATTAGCTAGCAAAGATCAAGTATGTAGCAGGAACTGTGCTATAGAGAAGTCCCCAGCTTTAGCTATCAGTCAAGTTGTCTTTTGAGGTTTTTCTCCATTTTTCACCTCATGGGTGCAGAGACAGAGAGAATCCTTAAAAAATGTTCCTTCTAGGATGACATCCTTGGCTGAGGTTATGAATGCAGCTTCATAATTCTTACATACCAGAGTTCAAAAGTCAGATGCAGCAATTTGGCAGCAGATTAGTTGGCACTGTATGGACCAATCAGTATTAAGCCAGGATCTAATCAATATCTTCTTCTTCTATTACTCCTCATTCTTCTGTGTTCACATTTAATAGGGCTGGGCTGTTGGACTGTGTGTTGTGGTTTACAGCTAGGCTGTGATATATGCTTCTGTAGGATTCCATGAATCCCTAATTAGTCACCTTGTACTACATATTTGTTAGGAGGGCAATGGGTCTATTAGTTTTTTCCAACCCAGATGGGGGCCCGGAACACACAAGCAGGGATGTACTCTTCTTCTTAGCATTCACCAGATGGAAATTCTGCCGCACAGTTCTGGTTGTTCATCCACTTCTGGGCTTTCATCCTGTTTCAGAATTTGAATTTTTCATGCACATCCATTTTACACTTCTTCTTATTTGTATGGAGAATGTTGGTTCCTCACCTCTCCTGCGGATGCGCTCCAACTTTGGAGGAACCGTCCTTAACTAGATTTTTTTTAATATGTTTGATAGAGAGGCAGTGGGTCCATTCTTTCTTCCCTACAAAATAGGTTCATAGGATGTTAAAAGAAAAAAAACACAGTTAATTTACTCAATACCACAATAACCGCCTTCACTTCCCTACATATTTCCTCATTCACATGTCAGACTCGGTCAACCTGGAGTCCAAGCCAATCATAAAACCCTGTCTCTGTGGGAGTATGACCTGTCACCGCTTCCCACAACAACAGTGATCAGTGACAATGTCATGACTGTTGCGTCAACACACCCACTCTCAAACAACACAGCTTCCCACAACAACAGTGATCAGTGACAATGTCATGACTGTTGTGTCAACACATCCACTCCCAAACAACACAGCTTCCCACAACAATAGTGATCAGTGACAATGTTGTGTCAACACATCCACTCCCAAACACCACAGCTTCCCACAACAACAGTGATCAGTGACAATGTTGTGTCAACACATACACTTCCACACAACACAGCTTCCCACAACAACAGTGATCAGTGACAATGTTGTGTGAACACACCCACTCCCAAACAACACAGCTTCCCACAACAACAGTGATCAGTGACAATGTTGTGTCAACACACCCACTCCCACACAACACAGCTTCCCACAACAACAGTGATCAGTGACAATGTTGTGTCAACACACCCACTCCCAAACACCACAGCTTCCCACAACAATAGTGATCAGTGACAATGTTGTGTCAACACACCCACTCCCAAACACCACAGCTTCCCACAACAATAGTGATCAGTGACAATGTTGTGTCAACACATCCACTCCCAAACACCACAGCTTCCCACAACAACAGTGATCAGTGACAATTTTGTGTGAACACACCCACTCACAAACACCACAGCTTCCCACAACAACAGTGATCAGTGACAATGTTGTGTCAACACACCCACTCCCAAACAACACAGCTTCCCACAACAACAGTGATCAGTGACAATGTTGTGTCAACACACCCACTCCCAAACAACACAGCTTCCCACAACAACAGTGATCAGTGACAATGTTGTGTCAACACACCCACTCCCAAACAACACAGCTTCCCACAACAACAGTGATCAGTGACAATGTTGTGTCAACACACCCACTCCCAAACACCACAGCTTCCCACAACAACAGTGATCAGTGACAATGTTGTGTCAACACACCCATTCCCAAACACCACAGCTTTCCACAACAACAGTGATCAGTGACAATGTCATGACTGTTGTGTCAACACACCCACCCTCAAACAACACAGCTTCCCACAACAACAGTGATCAGTGACAATGTTGTGTCAACACACCCACTCCCAAACACCACAGCTTCCCACAACAACAGTGATCAGTGACAATGTTGTGTCAACACACCCACTCCCAAACAACACAGCTTCCCACAACAACAGTGATCAGTGACAATGTCATAACTGTTGTGTCAACACATCCACTCCCAAACACCACAGCTTCCCACAACAACAGTGATCAGTGACAATGTTGTGTCAACACATCCACTCCCAAACAACACAGCTTCCCACAACAATAGTGATCAGTGACAATGTTGTGTCAACACATCCACTCCCACACAACACAGCTGGTTACTGATCACTGCAAACTGGCAATAACCACAACAGCAACACACATGGTCATGGCGAGCCAAACAACTAACTAGCCGCATGAAATCACTAATGCAGGGCACCACCAAAGCAGTTCAATTAACAAAGGCTAGTAATGTTACTGGAGGGAACTAGCCAACAACATCTAGACAGATGAAATCATTTATGATAGACACCACCCAAGCATTTCAATTAACAAAGGCTAGTAATGTTACTGGAGGGAACTAGCCAACAACATCTAGACAGATGAAATCATTTATGATAGACACCACCCAAGCATTTCAATTAACAAAGGCTAGTAATGTTACTGGAGGGAACTAGCCAACAACATCTAGACAGATGAAATCATTTATGATAGACACCACCCAAGCATTTCAATTAACAAAGCTTGTAGTTTGATTGCAGGAAACTAGCCAACAGCTAGGTGTATGAATCATCATCAACACAAGACGTTACCCAAACAGTTCAAGTACCTACATGTCTGCTTTTAACCTAGTACACTGCTAACCTTATTGAATCATTTATTTAGGATATCAATCAAGCAATTAGAGTAGTTATAGCTAGTGCTTTTGTCAGAGAGGGAACTAACCAATAAAACATCACTAATTCAAGAAACCACCCAAACATTTAAAGTTATAGCTAGTGCTTTTGTCAGAGAGGGAACTAACCAATAAAACATCACTAATTCAAGAAACCACCCAAACATTCAGTTATAGCTAGTGCTTTTGTCAGAGAGGGAACTAACCAATAAAACATCACTAATTCAAGAAATCACCCAAACATTTAAAGTTATAGCTAGTGCTTTTGTCAGAGAGGGAACTAACCAATAAAACATCACTAATTCAAGAAACCACCCAAACATTTAAAGTTATAGCTAGTGCTTTTGTCAAAGAGGGAACTAACCAATAAAACATCACTAATTCAAGAAACCACCCAAACATTTAAAGTTATAGCTAGTGCTTTTGTCAGAGAGGGAACTAACCAATAAAACATCACTAATTCAAGAAACCACCCAAACATTTAAAGTTATAGCTAGTGCGTTTGTCAGAGAGGGAACTAACCAATAAAACATCACTAATTCAAGAAATCACCCAAGCATTTGAAGTAATAGCTAGTGTTTCTGTCAGGAAGGGAACTAACCAATAAAACATCACTAATTCAAGAAATCACCCAAGCATTTGAAGTAATAGCTAGTGTTTCTGTCAGGAAGGGAACTAGTTAACTCTTTGAGTACCAAGGAACACGTCAAACGTTCATAGATTCCTACCTAAAAGCCCAATGAACGCAAGATGCGCCGATTTTACGTCTTTCTTGACTACCCCTTGGGCCTGTGATGCTAAATAAACCCCCTGGGACTCAAAGAGTTTTTTTTTTTTTAAATCATTAATTCAAGGAATTACTCAAGCATTTAAAGTTATGGCTAATGTTTTTGTCAGGGTGGGAACTTGCTAAACAAGAAATCACTAATTCAAGGAATCACTCAAAGTTATAGCTAGTATTTTTTTTTTTTTTTTTGTCAGGGAGGGAAATTGCTTAACAATAAACCCCTAATCCAAGGAATGACTCAAGCCTTTAAATTACAGCTTGTGTTTTTATGGAGGTGGGGGGGTGACTATCCAAACAAGAAATAACTTATTCAAGGAATCACTCACGCATTTAAAATACAGCAAGTGTTTTTATGTCGGGTGGGGGTTGACATTCCAAACAAGACATAATTAATTCAAGGAATCACTCAAGCATTTAAAGTTAAGGCTAGTATTTCTGTCAGGGAGGAAACTAGCCAAACTAGAAATCACTAATTCAAGGAATCATCTGAGCATTTAAAGTTATAATTTGTGCTTTTGTCAGGAGGGTAACTAGCCAACAAGAAAACCAGGTAAAAGGAAAAAAAAAATGTGTTATATCTCATACAAACCATAAATGTTTCTTTTTCTTATAACTGGAACAAAACAATTATTTTGTTATAAATAACTAGTGCATTTGACATCATGGCTGTTTCATAAAACTGTTATTCTGCATGAATAGCATGAATACATGATCACAGTTCTGTCAAATATCATGGGGAAACAGCTAGAGATGTTCACATGTTATATCAATAATCATGGGAACACAGATAGAGATGTTCACAGTTCTGTCAAATATCATAGGGAAACAGCTAGAGACGTTCACATGTTCTATCAATAATCATGGGAACACAGATAGAGATGTTCACAGTTCTGTCGATAACCATAGATAGACAGCTAGAGATGTTCACAGTTCTGTCAATAACCATGGGAGACAGCTAGAGATGTTCACAGTTCTGTCAACACTCATGGAGAGACAGCTAGAGAAGTTCACAGCTCTGTCAACACTCATGGGGAGACAGCTAGAGAAGTTCACAGCTCTGTCAACACTCATGGGGAGACAGCTAGAGAAGTTCACAGCTCTGTCAATAATCATGGGGAGACAGCTAGAGATGTTCACAGTTTTGTCAATAACCATGGGGAGACAGCTAGAGATGTTCACAGCTGTCAATAATCATGAGGAGACAGCTAGAGATGTTCAGTTCTATCAATAATTATGGGGAGATAGCTAGAGATGTTCACAGTTCTGTCAATAATCATGGGGAGACAGCTAGAGATGTTCACAGTTCTGTCAATAATCATGTGGAGACAGCTAGAGATGCTCACAGTTGTATCAATATCCCTGGAAAGACAGCTAGAGATGTTCACACAGCTAGAGATGTTCACACAGCTAGAGATGTTCACACAGCTAGAGATGTTCACAGTTCTGTCAATAATCATGGGGACACAGATAGAGATGTTCACAATTCTGTCCATAATCATGGGGAGACAGCTAGAAATGTTCACAGTTCTGTCAATAACCATGGGAGACAGCTAGATATGTTTACAGTTCTGTCAACACTCATGGGGAGACAGCTAGAGATGTTCACAGTTCTGTCGACACTCATGGGGAGACAGCTAGAGATGTTCACCGTTCTGTCAATTATCATGGGGAGATAGCTAGAGATGTTCACAGTTCTGTCAATAATCATGGGGAGACAACTAGAGATGTTCACAGTTCTGTCAATAATCATGGGGAGACTGCTAGAGATATTTACAGTTCTGTCAATAATCATGGAGAGACAGCTAAAGATGTTCATAGTTCTGTCAATAATCATTGAGAGACAGCTAGAGATGTTCACAGTTTTGTCAATATTCATGGAAAGACAGCTAGAGATGTTCACACAGCGAGAGATGTTCACAGTTCTGTCAATAATCATGGGGAGACAGCTAGAGATGTTCACAGTTCTATCAATAACCATGGGGAGACAGCTAGAGATGTTCACAGTTCTGCCAATAATCATGGGAAGACAGCTAGAGATGCTCACAGTTTTGTCAATATCCATAGAAAGACAGCTAGAGATGTTCACTCAGTGAGAGATGTTCACAGTTCTGTCAATAATCATGGGAGACAGCTAGAGATGTTCACAGTTTTGTCAATAATCATGGAAAGACAGCTAGAGATGTTCACAGTTCTGTCAATAATCATGGGGAGACAGCTAGAGATGTTCATAGTTCTGTCAATAATCATGGGGAGACAGCTAAAGATGCTCTCAGTTTTGTCAATATCCATGGAAAGACAGCTAGAGATGTTCACTCAGTGAGAGATGTTCACAGTTCTGCCAATAATCATGGAGAGCCAGCTAGAGATGTTCACAGTTCTGTCAATAATCATGGGAAGACAGCTAGAGATGCTCACAGTTTTGTCAATATCCATAGAAAGACAGCTAGAGATGTTCACTCAGCGAGAGATGTTCACAGTTCTGTCAATAATCATGGGGAGACAGCTAGAGATGTTCATAGTTCTGTCAATAATCATGGGGAGACAGCTAAAGATGCTCTCAGTTTTGTCAATATCCATGGAAAGACAGCTAGAGATGTTCACCCAGCGACAGATGTTGACAGCTAGAGATGTTCACAGTTCTGTCAATAATCATGGGGAGACAGCTGGAGATGCTCATGTACCACAAATATTTACATGAAAAATTAAAACAAAACTGTTTGTCAATTCCAATAAATAAACAATGAAAGAATACAAAACAAATAAACAGAAATATGTTTGTGAAAACAGGGGAAGAATCAAACGGTCAGTCTCGCCTGAAGAAGTCTTTTTGGAAACTAGTGTAGACTCAGCTCCCTCAATACTAGTTGATGAAGAGCTGTCTGAAAGAGATGAATATAGGTGTCAAAAGCGGTCTTGCTGACTGATTGGTTTGTTTATGGAATGAAGGACTGGACAAGTGATAAACTAGACTGGTTGATTGAGTAACTGACTGGTTTGGGCGACTGAATAAACAACTGATAAACCAGATCAGTTGATCAGGTAAAAAATAACTGGATTGTTTGAATGACTGACTGAATAAATGACAAAATGGACCACGTGAATTTACTGTGTGTCTGGTTAGTTAGTTTTTGGACTGTAGCTCATTCAAAAGACAGTAGAAGCATTTCAGTGGATGCATGTGAATTGTGTTGCTACAATTAGAATGGCAAATTGATTATTCTTACTGAATATGTGTGATGTTAGTATCTGTGGAATAGTTTGTCAACAAGGTTCAACAATGCCAACATACCAGGGTTTGTCAAATAGGTTCAACAATCCCAAAATACCATGGTTTGTCAACAAGGTTCAACAATCCCAACATACAATGGTTTGTCAACACAGTTCAACAGTTCCAACATACCATGGCTTGTCAACACGGTTCAATAATCCCAACATACCATGGCTAGTTAACAGACACAGGTGATTTGGTAGCAGATCACTTTGCATTCATTTTGACAACCGTATGAGTATCACACTACAGGGCATTCCCCCCATGTGCTCTGACCTCTTCCTCAGCAGCCAACAAAGTTCCCCTATTGATTATGACAGGTGTGACCTGATTAAAAGCCTGCACCTCATCATGCTCACCAGCTGAATCATACCACAACCACACCATTCTCAAGGTAGTGGCAAACTAGTGACTGGTAGACTCACAAAACAGTGTTGCACAAAGTATGAGCTCTGCAGCTCCAGCGTTTGCCATTTAAAGTGTGATGGCATGTTGTAATTTGGTTTACAACTAGGCTGCAATATCTGCCCCTTTTGTCCCAACACAAGCAATTCAAGAAAATCTGTAATGAGTCACTTTTTATCACATGCTTGTAAATGTTAAGTGCCCCCCCCCCCCCCCCCCCCCCCATGGGACCCAGACTCTGGTGTGGATCCCTAACTTGTGAACCACACAACATTGCTATGTATCTGCAGCTATATCAGAAAAGTCGATACAATATATTCACAACACTAGATTAACCACAATCAAGGAAAAACTGCACAAGATATCACCTTCCAGGCTGGTCAGCCGGACAAATCCAGACTTGAGGGCTCCGAATGCCTCGTCTCCCTCCAAACTTTCCAGAAACCTGGCAGCCACCTGGGGAAACGTCTGCTGGCTCATGGCCATGTACTTCTCCCGCAATATCAGGGCTCTGACCAGCATTTTGGAAGCTGACTGAAGGTCCTTGAATGGGACCTGCAACATGATAAAGTAGAAATACCAGGGTAAGAGGGGTAGACTGTAGGTCCTTGAATGGGACCTGCAATATGATAGAACAGAAATACCAGGGTAAGAGGGGTAGACTGTAGGTCCTTGAATGGGACCTGCAATATGATAAAGTAGAAATACCAGGGTAAGAGGGGTAGACTGTAGGTCCTTGAATGGGACCTGCAATATGATAGAACAGAAATACCAGGGTAAGAGGGGTAGACTGTAGGTCCTTGAATGGGACCTGCAATATGATAAAGTAGAAATACCAGGGTAAGAGGGGTAGACTGTAGGTCCTTGAATGGGACCTGCAATATGATAGAACAGAAATACCAGGGTAAGAGGGGTAGACTGTAGGTCCTTGAATGGGACACGCAACACGATAAAGTGGAAAGACCAGGGTAAACTGTAGGTCTTTGAATGGGACCTGCAACATGGTACAGTAGAAATACCAGTGTAACAGGGGCTGACTGCAGGTCCTCGAATGGGATTTGCAACAACAAAAATAAGGAACAGGTAATCAGAGGTAATGTTGTGATATCAGATTTAACACTGACTATTAGAATAAATGTGGAGAAGATTAAACAGAGGTATAATAAATAATAGATTAAACAAGAAACAAATAAGCATAAAACACACAACCACATAAGGAAGGAGTCAGGCAAAACTGGGACTGTCAGTCATTCATTTAGATAGAAAAATAAAAGGAAGACCAGACAAATAAAAGGAAGGAAGAAAAGACAGAAGGAAGGATGAATGACTGAAGTGAAAGATGGATGAAATGACAGGTAACTAGGAGAAAGAATGCAAAGATGTATGGAAAATAAGGAAGGAAGGAAGGAACAAATAAAGAAATGAAGGCAGAATGAAAGAAAACAAAAGATACATTGATGATTAGCAGAAAGAAGGAGGGAAGGAAGGTTCAAGCAGCTGGTGTTTAGGTGTTGAGAGACTGACCCCGCTGGTGTCCTCGCCACTAACGCTGATCCTCTGGAAGTCGGGCAGTAGCTCGTACTCCTCCTCCATGGTAGCAGCAATCTGCAGCGGGATGGCACTGTCAATCTTCGACATGTGGCTGAAGCGGGGCTTGTTGCTCTGGGGCCGCTCCGCAGCCCCAGATGAATGGACTCCAGCAGCGGGCAAGCTGAGGAGGAGAGATGCCGTGTAAACTTTAACAAGATAGTGTCAACTGATAACTTTAACAAGATAGTGTCAACTGATAACTTTAACAAGATAGTGTCAACTGATAAATAGGGCTGGAGACTGAGAAGTGGGCTGGTTTGTTCTGCTCAATAATGGGTTAAGGGAGGGGAGGAGAACAAGAAGAAAGAAGAAGCAGCAGGAGGAAAGTGAAGCAGGAAAAGAAAAAGGATGAGGAGGAGAAAAAGAAGAAAGAAGAAAACAAAACAAAGAAAGAACTAACAGACAAACTTTATTTCCAAAGGGTTACAATTACAAACTGGGCACACAGGCCTGTCTTACATTTGGTCCTTCTAGCATTCATCTTTCATATGGCAGTTGCATTTTATATACCAAGCATATTATGTTAACATACAAAATTCATTGTATAAATTTAAATTAAAAATACAAAGGTGTGAATGACAAATGCATTCCTTCATATATATATGTGCAAAAATACACATAGCAGACATCAGCACACATACAACACCATTACACACACAGATTACACAAACACAACATAAACAGGCATACACACAATCACAGACAGACCCAACGCACATACACACAAAAGTCACAAGTCACAACATGTACACAAAGACATGACATACACAGACAACACAGACAGATATAACATACAGAGGCATATGTACTCTCACAGACAGATCATATTCAGATAGATGCAACACTCACATACTTAACAGACCCAAAACAAACCAGTCATACCATGTTGACACAGAAACGACACACACACAGTCAACAGATAACGATACAACATATACAGGCTTACATACTCTCACAGACACAAAACATGCATACAGATACAACCAATAGCTACAATAGACATGAAGACTAGAGACCAGCACACAATTCACAAACACAATACAAATGGAGACAACACATGCACATAGAAACAACACTCAACACAACACCCACAGACACAGCACTCACACTTGTATATACAATACATACTTTCAGGTAAACACACACTTACAGACACAACGCACACAGACACAACAAACACAGACACAGCACTCACACTTGTATATACAATACATACTCTCAGGTTAACACACACTTACAGACACAACGCACACAGACACAATACACATAAACAACACACATAAACAACAATACAGAGACATAACATTGACACAGATATGGCACTCAGTCACAACACCAACACAGCACACTCACACACATAGCACACATCACACTTACCTACACACCTAACCCCCCCCCCCCCACACACACACACACAAACACATCACTCAACCCCCTCCCCCCATACAGGCACATTACTCACAGATGCAACACTCACACCGACACAGCATTCACACAGATACAGCACACACTCCCATTGACACAGAACATACTCACAAGACACAACATTCATACAAATGCACACACAGACACAAAAATACACAGACGCTACATACACAGAAATACACACACTTACAGACACAATATTTACACAAAAACACAGCATATGTACACACAGGCACAACGCTCACACTGGCTCAAAAATCACACAGAAACAATACTCATATAGATACAAGACTCACATACACAACATTCACAGATATAAAACTTCCACATATAAAACAACTCTCACAGACATAGTACTCACTTTCACAACATACTTACACTTTTTCACAGACAACAGTAACACACAGACACTCTACACGCATATGGACAAAACACATATTCACAGACTAAAAAACTCAACAGACACAACAGACATATAGAAACAACAATACTCAGATACAACACTCACAAACACAACACTTACAGAAACAACACTCAAAAAGATACAAAATTTACATACACAGACACAACACTCAAAAAGATACACAATTTACATACACAGACACAACACTCACACAGACACAACACTCACACAGACACAACACTCACACAGACACAACACTCACACAGACACAACACTCACACAGGCACAACACTCACACAGGCACAACACTCACACAGACACAACACTCACACAGACACCACACTCACACAGACACCACACTCACACAGACACCACACTCACACAGACACCACACTCACACAGACACCACACTCACACAGACACAACACTCACACAGACACAACACTCACACAGACACCACACTCACACAGACACAACACTCACACAGACACCACACTCACACAGACACCACACTCACACAGACACAACACTCACACAGACACAACAGTCATAGACACACAATAAAAAGGAGGAGGAGGAGCACAAAGAGGAAGGGAGGAGGAAGCAGAAAAGAAGGAAGAGGAGGAGAAAAATTAGGAAAATGGGAAGAAGGACGAGGAGGAGGAAGAAGAGCAATAGCAGGATGTGTAGGAGGATGCGATGGAACAGTGGAAAAAGTATGGGGAGCAAAGAAGACGAGAGAGGTGAATGAGATGAAAGAAAAGGAGCAATACAACAAGAAGTGGGACACGGATGAGGGGAGAGAAGTAGGAGAATGTCATGACATGAACATTGTACACCCCTCAGGTTACAAGAAATTAAAGTTATTCTAAAATTAATTCTAAACTGGAATTTTCACGAATACAAAAACATGCCCTCTAGGAAGGCTCTGGGTAGATTAAAACAACAAATATATTATGTATGTAAGCATCCAGGTGAACCTGGGGTATAACATAGAAGAACTCACCACCTGCTATCAGGTGGGATAAAAGCAAAAACAGCTTCTGTGTACAGGTAAGTCGCAGGTGAAGTCAATTAATTTTAGCAACATGAAAACAAAAACAGCCTGGAGAAACCTGGTTTTACTTTATAACCCTTATATTAACCATATTCTACAGTGATATCTATGAACACAAAGCTGCATGTTCTACATGTATTTATTGTTTTCTGGTTTTCTCCTTCATCTTTCTCCTCATTTTCTTTTGCCATCCTCCTGGTTAATCTTCTTTTTCTACTGTATTTGTATTTTATATTTATACTGTGAATTTTGATGTGTGAATACAATATGCTTGATACATAAAATGCAGCTGCCATCTGAAAGGTGAGTGTTTGAAAAAGCTGAATATAAGACAGGCCTTCAGGTCCAACTGATTACCCTCTGGAAATCTTCTTCTTCTCGTTCACCAGCTGTAAACTCTGGCGGAAAGTTCTGGTTTTTGCCACTTCTGGACTGCAGTCCTGTTCCAGAACCTGAGTGTTGCGTGTGCATCCGTTTGACAGATCTGTATGCAGACTGTTGGTTCCTTGCCTCTCAGGCAGATGCACTCCGACTTCAAAGAAAGCTCCCAATTAGTCGACTCTTACGACATGCTTTTGGGTAGGCAGTGGGTCTATTCTTGTTTTACCCACAGTAGGGCCCCGGAATCCACATGGGACCTCTGGAAATAAAGTTTGGCTGTGTTCTTTCGGCTGCTGACTATGTCAGACCTGGAACAGATACGGGCAACCACGGCTTCCCAGTGTGTTCTTCTATCTTTCTACTTCTTTCTATGAGTGCCGATCAATAGACTTTCTGTTACTTGATTAATTCATAATATTTAACGGCCTCGAAGGTTCCCCTTCTGTTTATTTATAGGAATGACGTATACACACCAGAACCTACCAATCAAATACCTTTCTTAAATGTTTGTGTATTCTAAACAAAGCAATAAGGTCTACTGTGTTCGTAAAATGTAGCTGTAATTGTTATTCGACATATGCTTCGTTAATATAAATTTCCGTAACCTATGGTGCCATTTCAATGGGTTGAAATGAATTCTGTCCGTATTCTATAGTTGTGGATCTCAAGTTGTATGATAGACATGGCTAATAAGACACCTTTTTTAGGGGGCGCCTAGTTGACCATGTTCTTAGTGCACTTGTATTCACTGCGATGCGCAGACGCCGTCTGGAGGTGACAGGTTCAATTCCCTATAGCTTTCGATTTTTATGTTGTCTAGTGTGTTCTTCTATCTTTCTACTTCTTTCTATGAGTGCCAATCAATACACTTTCTGTTACTTGATTAATTCCCTATAAGACTAATGTCTTTGTCTCACTCCACATAAGACTAATGTTTTTGTCCCACTCCACATAAGACTAATGTCTTTTGTCCCACTCCACATAAGACTAATGTTTTTGTCCCACTCCACATAAGACTAATGTTTTTGTCCCACTCCACATAAGACTAATGTTTTTGTCCCACTCCACATAAGACTAATGTTTTTGTCCCACTCCACATAAGACTAATGTCTTTGTCCCACTCCACATAAGACTAATGTTTTGTCCCACTCCACATAAGACTAATGTCTTTGTCCCACTCCCTATAAGACTAATGTCTTTGTCCCACTCCACATAAGACTAATGTCTTTGTCCCACTCCAAACTGATAATGTACCCCACAAACATCTTGCCTTTTAACTGTCCGTATTGTCTGAATAGGCCATCTAGTCAAATAAAGAGGACTATTTGTGTGCAAGTGTTGCTGTTGGTACACTTTACTGACACCAGTTTTAGTGAATCATGTTTAGTCATCAGCACTATTGTAACAGACACTTTCAGGGGAATACCAGCACTATATATATGTATAGACCACAAAGAACTCGTTTTGACAAGAACACTGACTGATGCAGGTACAATGAAAATAGATCTATATATAAACTTCTTTTCTTAGTACAAAGGCACAATTTTACATTTGGGCTATAAAACAGTTCATATCTGCAAACTTTTGAAGCAAAATTTTTCCTTTTTTTTTTTAAACCCTAAATCTGGCAACATTGCCTAGCATAATTTTATAAACTCGTCGAAGTTATAATAAGTCTTGAAAACTTGCAATTCAACATACAACTAGTTCAACTTACAACCTGTTCGACTTACCACCTGTTAGAGAACTCAGTCAGAGGTTGAGAATACCATTTTTAAATATAGTCAGTAGCCAAAATACTCATTTGCTGGTCTTATGGGCATAGGTTCCAATTACCACTAAGGTTTTTTAGGTG